TTTTCCAAAACCTCAACCCGGTCCGAAAACACCCATAACACCAGCAGGACAAGTACCAAGCGCATCCATGACTCCATCAGTTGTTGTGACCGCGTCCGACACCGTCTTCAACGCCTCCGTTGGCGTGGGCAACAGGCCTGTTAGCGACTGCTCAAGAGTCTCTTTCAACTCCTCGGAAATGTTCCCTACTCGTCCCCAGACCATGTTCATCATCCCAGAAAATACCCGTGGGATCCGAATCAGTTTAGCAGTATCCCGGATGGATATGACGGCGGCGTAAATCTGCCATATGGCGACCACTACGGTGAAGAGGAGAATGGCAAAAACTTCAATGGACGCCCAAACAAGGCCAGCGCCCTGAAGTGTTGCCTTTCACATCACACTGCAACGAGAGCCGGCCGGCGGACGGCACGTCGAGCACTCGCACACGAATCCGAGGTCTCGCTTGCCGTAGTCCCACGTCAGCTGCTCGCCCTCTTCAATGTCGCGCCTGGCCTGGACACAAATGTGCTTCTTCTCGATGAACTTGGCTAACCCCTGCGGGCCGATGCGCCAGCAGCAGTTGGGCCCTACGGGTGGCGGGGCTTCCTCGGTCCTCGAGAACCGCGGGGCCCGCGGCGTGCAGCAGTGGTTGACGAGCGAGCCGAGGAGGTAGATACACGCGCCGTGGGCCTGCGTGGCGACTGCTTTGGCGCCACCCGGGACGCCCCCGGCACTGTTCTTCCGGGCGTCGAAGGCGTAGTGCCGAAAGAAGTTACGGACCGCAAGGCGGCAGTCCTGATCCGAGGGCGACGGGTTGACGCGGATTTTGGAGGTGAAGGTTTCGTATTCTTCCCGAGTGATAGTCGAGCCGGCAAAGCGTCCGTGGGCGAGGAACTTGCCGAGTGCATCGCTGTTGAGGACGGGTTCCACCTCGTCGAATGCCGGCGGCGGGAAGCCGTGGGAGGCGGCGAGGACGGGGTATGCGGCGGTGAGCTCATTCCCGTGGGTTTCTAACGCGTTGCGGTAAGCGGCGAGCTGACATTTAGTCAGGGATGGGTCGTCCGAGTTGGCCTCGTGGAAGAGGGAGCTTAGGATGGGCGCTTCTGTGAAGATGAACTCGTCCTGTTTGAAGGGCCGGGCCGCGAAGAGTCCGTATCCCACGGCGGCGCTGACGAACCCGATCCGGACCGCGGGTTCATCTTTCGGAGCGTTCCGGAGGAACTTGTCAGGTAGCTAGACGTGTGTGAGGTTAGTAAGCTCCATTTGATGACGACGAGAGTGCAACCCAGCTGGGTTTCCGGCGAGAAGCACCGCGGTGTCAGGCCTACTTTGGATTGCTTCGAGGCGTCGAAGCCATCGTCGGATTTAAAATTTACTCTCGATCGAATATTCGCCATTTGATGAATGAATGTCAGCCCTCGTCGGTGAAGAGTGACGAGATTCGCCCCGGCGGTGATGCACGCATCGACGCAAAGAAAAGAGCGCCCGCAGCTGCGCGAGCCAGTCTCGAGGAAGGAGGCCCCCTCGGTTGGCTCGGGGGCAGAGTGCAAAGTGCAGGGGCCCGGGGAGCACGAGAGGGTGAACGAAAGGGGGAGAAAGTGCAGGTCAGAAAATGAACAAATTTGGCTCGGCGACTCTATGTACATGGGCCACAGCGGGTATTTTATCTTGTAATTGTACGAACGGCTCCTGCCTCACTCAGAACATGCTCCTACTCGGATTTGGCAGCGGCGGCCAGCTTCTGGACCTTCCGTGCCTCTTCGTCGATGTGCTGCTTCTGGTAGTGCGCGATCACCTTGTCGATGTTGACATAATGACCAGCGGGGACGTTGTATGGAGAGCCGTGTTGGAACACCCTGTCACGTGGTCAGCTCAGCACGGTGCACCAATGGCAAAGTAGGCGGTCCAAGCGAGGGGAGACGAGGGGAGACGAAGCCACTCGGACACGACTTCTGGTCGACCTCCGGCTCCGTCTCAATTGAGCCTGGCCTTTAGGCATTGAGAGCCTGAAGAAGCCCTGCCCCGAGCAAAGCTGCTCAATTGAGGCGGTACCGTCATCCGGGCGGCGTCACTCGTTGTGCAACGCCCTGTGACACTCTCCAGCAGGGCCAATTGGACGAAGAACCAGCTGGAAAGTCCTCAGGATGCGCCCTGCACCGGCATCGTCTCCCCTAGCTGCGGGTAGGTAGGTTCTGGGTTACGTACTCAGGGTAGCTGAGCTCAATATGTCTGTTCCGCTCGATGTTGAGGAAGAGGTGCTTGTCCTTGGCTGCTTGCTGGATAGCGGCCGTGGTGTTGTGATTCTTCTGCTCCCACTCCTTGCTCAGGTCGGATGCCTTCTCAATCCACTTGCCGATTGTTGTGGGCTCGCCGTCCTTGGCCGGGCGCGAGATCTGGTAGACGATGACCGAGGCGGGAATGGCAGCGAAAGCGAGGTAGAAGCCGGGCTAGAGAGTCCAGTTAGCATCCGTATCTCGCCCAATGTACCAATCCCCAAGTCCACAGCATTTCCAACACAATTGGGCGCATACCCCGAAGGATTCCTCCACAGTGTGCTCGTGGTGATGGCCATGGCCCGAAGCATAGGATCTCGTGTTCCGCACGCCGGTCGGCCGTGCTCGGCGGGCAATGCAGGCGGCCTGCTGTCTGAGTGCCGACATTTCGAATAGGTGTTTTCGCACAGTCAGTGGCGGGTGACGAAAGTCGAGACGAATTGATTGGATTCAGAGGTCGCTGCTCCTCCGTCCTCGACAAGCTCACACCAAGCTTTTGCTGGTGGAATTGTCGGTAGAGTGGCCGAGAACAACGATCGGCCTGAGGAGGTGGGTGTCGCAGCGGCTCGGTCGTGAGGGCTGCGCGCAAGAGGGTGGATGTCAATCAGGTGTTGAGGCAAATCGGCGTCGAGCTTGCGATCACGAAGCCGTTGACCAGAGCTTGGCGATTGCGAGCTCCCGCGCACGTGACTGCTGGCGCGCCTGCCTCGCTTAACTTCGCGGCAAGTGGGCCAATCAGCGCGTGCCCAGTAAAGAACACGCTGATGTGCTGTTGCCCGCTGTGGTTGATGATTTTCAGGGGGCGAAGTCCACTGTGCCATCTGTCCTTTCTGGGAGCTTCTTTTCTTGACTCACTGGGACAACCAAGATAAAAGGTACCTGAGGGACAATGTTCATCTGTGCTTTGATCTTATAATTTGGTCTTTCTTTCAACAAGCTGCTCTCATTTTCATTTTCAACAACCTTATCTGTAATATTTATTTAACCTGCCGATTGAACAGGAGCATCACTTGCTCCCGCTGCCTGTTACAAGCAGCAGCCAACACAATTCGGCATCCTCCAACAAAACCACCATTTCTCACATATCGCTCTTCCAGAGCGCAAAATGGCTAAATTACGAATGCGATCACTCCCCCTCGCCCTTTTGGCATTGATCGGGATAGCCGCTTCAGGAGTTACCGCCTCATCACCATCACCAAGAGAAGGAGCACCAGCGGCCTCACACTCACCTTCACCACCATCAGACGAGGTAGAGCTCATATGTCACACCGACAACCCAGCAGAATGCTATCCCAAAGTTTTTGTGGCTACGGACGAATTCCAAGTTGTTCACGAAGACCAAGACCTTCCCAAAGGCCTCCATGTTCGCTTGGACGTCCAAACCGGCCGCAAAATGGCCAAGATCAACATTCCCGATGAGGTGAATCCCGCTCTCGAGGGACTCCCAGTCGACAAAGCCATGGTCATCGTCGAACCCAACGAGGCCGAAGAGGGAGACCCCCAGCCGCCACCAAAAATCCCAGCCAACGCCCCAGGATACGAACCAGTTGGCAAGATTAAGGAGCCCAAAAACCCCAACAGCGAGGAGGGAGGCGCTTTCTACCGCTCCCTCTCCGTTCTCAAGAAGGGCTTGAACATCGACGAAGCCCTCGAGATGCTCGAAGACATCTCCCACGACATCTACTACGGCCTCAAGATCGCCGAGGACTACGACACCATGCGTCAGCTCTTCTGCCTGGCCAACACACCCGCCATCTTCGAAGACACCGACGACACCGTGACTGTCCTCAGCCGCGCCCGCGTCGCAGCCTTGACCATCGGCTCAGCCGTGCAGAACAACCCCAAGGCCCTGGACGAGATCGAGAAGCACTGGGTCAAGCTCCAAAGCGAAAAGTGCCCCGGATCCGAGGAAACCCTCGGCACCGCAACCTTCAGACTGGTTCCCCCGCCTTCATCTGTGGCCAAGAAGAACGACCCTTCTCTAGCCAAGGTGCGCATCTCAGCCATCAGCGGGCTGCTCAAAAACGACGCCATCCGCAAGGAATTCCTCGCCAACGGGGGCATGGAGCTCCTCCTCGAGGTCCTGGTCGGCACCGAGGATCCAGATTGGGAGCCGGCACAGAAGAAGGTCGGCTTTCTGATCCTGGATAACTTCCTGGACGAGGACATGGGTGCTGCCCTGGGGGAGTGGCCTCGGGAAGGCCAAGCGAAGGACGCAGAGTGCGCGTCCAAGTCTGTTATCCATAAGGATTGCTGGGATTGGCATGCGCAGCAGCTTGCGAAGAGGTTCAAGTCGGAGAAGGGGCATTGGAGTGCGGACTTGTTGAAGAAGCTTAAGGAGCAGAGGAAGGCGAATGGGGCGGTGAAGAGGAAAGGGAGGAAGGAGGAGCTGTAGATTATTTGTTGAGCTTTTGCATTTTGATATACCCATTTCTCACTGGTAGTCCGAAGTTCCCTCGCGTCTCCCCGTGATGTGGTGATGTTCGATCTTCACTGCAGCCCACGTTTACCTCGAAAGTAGTTGGGCTTTTTCTCACGCTGCCCTGGCACATACACTATGACCATCACTCCTTCAAACAACAAACTGGTAGACTGAAAAGCCCAAGCCGAATTCACACTCAAAACAAAACCCCATTACTTTGTTTGTTCCCGTTGCCCTACCATACAATCCTGCGAACTGCACACACCCCTCCACCGATATCCCCCTCTCAAAACAGCATCTTACACCCAGCAAAACATCAACCAGCGGGTTTAGCTCAGTTGGGAGAGCGCCAGACTGAAGATTCAACTTCATTCCATCAATCCAATTGATATCTGGAGGTCATGTGTTCGATCCACATAAACCGCACACGATTCATTTTTTGGTGATTCTCCCCTTTTTGCTGCCCTGGCTTGGCAGCTGGTCAGGGGGGGGCCAACCCCACCCTACCTAACGGTGTGTCTGTTTGTGGCAGACTTGGTCAAGGTGAACACTTGCAATTTGATGTTTTGCTATTCCTGGGATATCTGTTTCTTGTCTCTGGGCTATTTGGTGTGCAACGTTCGATATTGGACTCCGGGGAAGTCCAGGGAAGAGGGAAGTCTAGGGCACTCCAGGGGGCTGGTTTCCTCTCCCTTGCCCGTCTCCGGCCCTATGACACCTGCTTCTCCTATGGGTTTCTGGAACCGTGGGACAATCTGCGTCTGCAAGCCTCCCGTCGTCAGCTCGGCCTTGGCGGCGTCAAGAAGGTTCGAACAAGGCGCAACACGCCCAGCCCACGACAGACCGCATCTGAGGGAATATGACGGTGCGGTTTCTACCGACACTGTCGATCTCGCTGGAGAAGGCCATCCTGGGCACTGACTCGGTGGCCCTGGTCTTTCTAGTAATCCGCTGCACCTGGAGTCACCTGGAAAAAGAGACTTCCCAATTCATCTTCCAGGAAAAGCGGCTTGGTGTTCTAACCCCACGAATTATTACATCTATTTCTAGGCATGCGCGCTGTACTACGGGCAGGTCTAAAACTAAAGTCTGGCAGCAGACCGTATTCGGAGGCTGCAGGAACTTGGAAGACGCAAATTAACCCCCCAGCTGACAGAGGTGACCCCCCAGAACCGAAAGGGAGCGACCCAGAACCGCGAGGAACTGCTACTGGCAGTATGAATCTAATACGCCCGCAAGAAGGCCTGAAGGTAAGATACGGACTGTATCGACACTGTCAAAGCCCAAACCTGCCCCAGAAACGAAACCAGTGCGCTGACTGTCGTCGAGAGAAAACCAAAAACCAAAATCAAAACAACGCCCCTTTTAGTGTAGCCATGATGCTCTAGTATTCCCCCAAATGAAACAAAAAACCCATGGAAAGCATTGCCCAACTCCGAATCGACGAACCTGTCGCTGGGCTTCCAACTTGGCTGCCCTCTCCACGATCCAGTGGTACTTCTGTCCCTCACCAGTCGTGTAGGAGTATTTCTCGCCCAAACCTTTGCCGCTGCCGTTGTTTCTATTGGTGCCCAGTCCCAAACTTTTGATAACTCTCGTTGGATCAACGCATCCGTGGCTTCGCAACGCATCTGTGGTTTCGAAACCAGATCTGGCCAAGCCGCTAGAGATCGCCAGATCTGACACCCGTGTTACCAAAGCCACTGAGATTCCAGCCCGAATACTTCGACGTCGGACCGTTTGAAAGCACGCTTGGGGGCGGAATAGGAGGGAGGCCGTGATTGTTACTCGGCTCCTTCTTGATCGGCATCGGAGGCAGCTGACTGGACTGCTGTTCCTGCTGCGCATTCGATGCTGCAGCGTCAGATGACGGGGCGGAATCCTTGGTGAAGACTCCCTTGTCCTGAAGATACTTCAGAGTCTGAACAATCGTCAAGTCCTCTTGCTCCTTGTCGTTCAGAGTAAGACGCTGCTGGAGGGTCATTCGGCCGCCGTTCATCTCTCGCGCCTTCAAAGCCTCCTCGCGAACCGTAGGATCGTGGACAAAGCGGCACTTGCCCCGCTTGCCACAAGTTCCGCCTGTAGAGTAATACTTGCAATGTTTCTTGGGATCTGCCTTCTTCGGTGGCGGGGGGAGAAAACTGGGCTCCTGCCGGGTAGACATGACCTCAGGCTTCTCGTCGTCCGACTTGGAGTCGCTCGAGGGGGAAGAGCTCATGTCTATGTCGCGCATGTCATCGCCTTCATCCTGTTGCTCGCGTTTGCGTTTGATGTTCGACTCAACCTTTTCGAGTTGTTTTCGGAGCTTCTCTGCCTTTTGCTCGAGCTTCTCGGCTTTATGATCAACAGTTGAACTGCGGCCATCGGCAGCCTTGGACTCGCCATTCTGACCCTTGGTCGTGGCAGCAGCGGCTTTCTTGGCCTCAACTCGGGCTTTTGTAGGGAAGTTTGCCCGGCGCTCTGCAATCCAGGCTGCAATGTCTGTCGGCCTGAAGCTGGGTTAGCACCTGACTGTGCAAAGGCGAGGCCTTTGTACTTACTTCGGCGCATCAGCCCCGTACATCTCCTCCAGCTCTTCCTCGTTCTCTTCGTAGTCATCGGACTCGTCGCCCGGAGTCAGGCCAAGGGTGTTGGTCTTTCTCTTCTTCTTTTTGCCAGTGGAGGCAGCATCAGGCTTCTGATGGTGGGTGGGAGGGGTCTGGGCGGTCGGGCCTCTGTTGCGGTTGCGCGACTTGTCGCCACCAAACTGAGGCCGAGACTTCGCATTATTACCGTGGAAACCGCCGCGGTTGTGCCGTGGGTTGTGGCTGGAGTGGTGATCATAGGGCGCAGGCGCGGGCGCGGGCATGTATGGGGCCGGAGGCGGATAGCCCTGGTACGGCGCAGGAGGGTAAGGTCCGGGGGAGCCTTGGTGACCGCCGTAGGGCTGGGGCGGGTAAGGGCTGCTCACTGGAGCAGGAGGCGATTGCTGGCCATTGCCGTCGAATCCAATGCGGATTGGCGGCCCCATCATCTGACCCTTGTGTCCACCTCGATCATTGTATCCTCGACCACCGCGGGTTCCGCTACCATAATTGTTCTGGCTGGGCGGTTGGGCATGAGCGCCCCACTGCTGAGCGGGCGGTCCGGGCGGCGGCCCGGACTGTGACGTCGGTGTAGGATACGGAGCGGCGTAGTGCGATTGGGCAGGAGGGTAGGCAGGTTGACCGGCGTACGGCTGCGGCTGCGGCTGCTGGTGGTACAGCTGGGGAGCGTAGTTCGGATGGTAGTTCGAGGCCGGCAACGGAGTGTGAGGCGGTTGCGCGTGCTGCGGGGCATGGTCATGCCATTGTTGCTGGGGCTGCTGGGGTGTCTGGTAAGCAGCCTGGGGAGCGTGAGGGCCCGGATAGGGGGCGGGGTTCTGCTGTCCGTATGGTGCGGGCTGCTGGTTATATCCATAGGCCGGAGCGGGCTGGTGGTATCCGCCACGGTCGGGGCCTCCGCGACCCCGTCCACCATGGCCGCCTCTCTGGGGTGCTTGCTGGTACGGCTGGTTGTACGGAGCATAGCCGCTTGCATTCGGAGCAGCAGCGGGCGGGGGGGCCGGGGGAGGCGGCCCGTAACTGTACGCCATCGCCCTGGTGAACGGAAGTGATCGCGCTGGATGACGGACGATTAGGAAGGACACACTGCTGGAAGACTTTCAGAAGGAAAAATGGGAAAAGACGCGATCCGGCGCGCAGACTCCAATCTGACGGATGCCTGTTGTTCACTTGAATGGAAACTGCTGTCAGGATAGAGGTGAGAGACCTTGCGAATTGTGGTGGAATGAAGATTTAGAGCAGCCGGTCAGGAGCGGTAATAGAGTTAGATTCTGGAACCTTAAGCGAAGGTTTGGGAAAGAGCACAAGAGTGGATACAAGGATGGTTGTAATATGCAAGTAGCGACGAAATGTGGCGAAGTGGGGCACATATGCGTTTAAGAGAAAGAAAAGACTCAGTGATGACGTTTAACTCAACCAATGAGACTCTACTCTGACGTTTAGCAGACTCAATGTGATTGGCTGCGACTTCACGGACTCATGGCAGCTGACTTCTGACGTCCAACAAGGACTGGAGGGCACTGGCAAGTGCCAGGCAGGTGCTGGAGCTGTAGGCTCCCCCCTTTGTTTATAATCTTGGAAGGAGGAGCCTGCGCTCTGGGCAGCTCTCGCCTTCCTTCTCATAACCAACCACCCCCTTACCTAGCCAACACAGCAGCATCACCACCACACGCGGTATTCAGCTGTCAAACAGTGACGTTTAACAAAGCCAACCACCTACTTTAACATTCAACAAACACCATCTTTGGTGGCTATAGTTCAGACGTTTTCGTCGGGAGTAACCTCAACAAACACATCGCTGTTTGCACGGGTGGTGATCAATGGGTGTTTCCCAGAGCCCTGTTCTGAAGTTTCCAGCCTTCCTCGTAAATCGTCAACAAGTGCTAGCCATCAGTCCGGTTTCCCATTTCTCCCTTGCCCCTTCCCCCATCCCCACATTGCAACAAGTACAAGCCGCTCGGCATTGCTGATCCCTAAATGCATAGTCTTAATTTGGGGCTCTGTTCACAAAAGGTCTCTCCAAATAAATGGCATCAAGTAGCAACCTTGGAAGCTGAGCGACATAGTTGTTAGTTGAGAAGAGAGTTATTGACAAGGCTCTTCTCTGTGTTGACAAGAACTGTATGTTTGGTTTGCACTTTCCCGTGTTCCAACATTTGGCATGATGGTCAGATTTGCTCTGCCTGGGCTACAACATGGACATTGTTACCTTTCTTCCTGTGAGCCAGCATATGACAGCTTGACGAGAATCGGAGTCGCATTGTTGCAGATTCTAGCTCTTGTCTTGTGCGTTGGACCCGGGTCGATCCTCGGACGACTGTTGAGGAACCTCAACAACTTCGAGTCCCACACTACCCCATAAAACCAACATTGCCAACATTTCCCCCCACAACCACCACACGCTACTGACAGGAAACAGGCTGTGAAGTTGGGACGTTTTTCTGAGGGTCTCGCTAGGAGTGGGGGCATGAAGCTCGGAGTCAGAGTTGAGAAGCTGGGACTCTGCGTGTGCACTTGGTTGAGGCTGAGCTTATGAGCCGTGGGAGGGTTGGGAATGGGATCTAATGACAGATCCAAACCAAGACTCCCAACGACTCCTCATGGCTTCTCAAGACGTAACAGCCAGCACAATGGCTTCTCAGCCTCTCCACATCTTGCAACACCAGCCCGTTCACGCAGTAGAAGAAATGAGTTTGGCATAGGCCTCCATTAGGTACCAAGCATTAGAGCAAGGCTTGTCAGCACCCCTCAAAGGCCTTTGCAGTATGGACAGGACCGAGGGATGAGCTTCATCCCCTCCAGTCATACCACACAAAGCATGAGGTGATTCCTGTTGTTAAGATG